CATGTCATGAACTTAACAAGTGTAGCAATAAAGGTTATAAAATGGGGCAAAATTCACTTTAAAATTCTTGCTTAGCAACAGAAACTTTGGGCCCAATTGTGGTCATAACATGAGGACTACCTGTACATAAATGTATAGCTTTATCGTTGCCACTATCACCTCAATAAAAAAAATACACCCAATGCTGCAGAGCTGTGCCAATTTCCTTTACTTTCTCCTGTTTTCTTTCCTTAAACACTTCAGATAATGTTAAATTGCAGAATGCCGGTCGCAAGCAGTCTGTCTCCAGAAGCCTAAAGCATCTCTTCCATTCTTCAAACAAGTTTGTGAAGACTTTGAAAAGGTTTGTTTGAGTTAATAGAATCACAGTTTTATATTTGAAACTGCCAGAAATCTCTCTCTTACATAATCTGCATTCTGTACTCTGAAATTGTTTAGTATTTTGGAAAACACTGCAAGCTCAGACAGTAACCACAGCAGAATTTGAAAAAAATGTTCTAAGATATATTAGGATCTTTACTTAAATTTCAGCTTTTATTTCTATTGCAGTGCATGTCTCTTCATTATAAAACCTCTTAGCTGAAAAGACAGTCATTAAAATTCAATATAATACAATTCTCCCCCAAAACAAAGAGGAGAAAACTCCATGCACACAGACCTAAATCCTGGCTAATACCAAGCTTCTGACCTTATAAATGTAAGGTTGCCAATTCTAGATAAAACCACTCTTAGAGAATCCTCTCTCATTCAATTAATATATGCATGCAACACTTTTAAATATGCATGTGTTATGGATGATTGGATATGTATATCTGCCAAAAATAGAGTCCAAAATATGACTAAGCCAGGAAAAGTTGATGATGCTTTAAAGTGTTCCCCAAAAGTGATACGTGTACATCCGCACATTTTTTTTTTTTTTTTGCTCTTGAATCTAGATTTCTTAGTAAGTCCCTGTAAAGGGGAAGAAATGAACGAGTGAACTGGATGCAGGGGAGATAAGAGGAATAGAGTTGGGTAGGGTAGGGATGGAAAGGAAGAAGGAAAGGGGAAGGGAGAAGAGAAGGGGGAAGAGAGAGGAGGAGATGGGAAGGGGAGGGGAGGAGAGGAAAGGGGAAAGGGGAAAGGGGAAAGGGGAAAGGGGAAAGGAAAGGAAAGGAAAGGAAAGGAAAGGAAAGGAAAGGAAAGGANAGGAAAGGAAAGGAAAGGAAAGGAAAGGAGAAAGGAATGGATTGGATTGGATTGGATTGGATTGGATTGTCTGGGTGTGACAAAAAGAATTAAATTTAGCAACCAAGCATCCCTTCTAAACAGCACCCGATCTTCAGAGCAATCTTCAAAAGCATTCATGCTTTCTGATAACCCTGTTCATTTGCCCGATCCTTTGTTTCAACAGCTTTTTTATCCTTACCAGCAACATAAGACCCGCTAATTTCACAGGTATTAATTTGTCTCCTTGATAAATTCAGGAACCTTTTGAGTCAGGCTAAAACCACATGCAGGAAAAGGTAAAGATAATCTTGGGTCCAATTTAACACTTGGTGGCTACCAACAGGACACATCCATGCTGTTTTCTCGGTAATGGTATAAGAGTGGTTTGCCATAGCCTCCTTCCAGGGTGCTTTTTAAACTTCCCAGTCCAAGCAACCGCCCTGTTAATCTCCCATCCAAGTACTAACTAGGCCCACCCTGCTGAGCTTCTGAGCTCCAACAAAGCCAGCCACCCGCTAAGACCAATCAAAGGCATTCTTACCAGGAATAAGTACCCTTGAATGCCATCTGTATACTGCATGTACAATCTAGAAAGAAAGAAGGGAAAATGCAGGCTATCTCCAATTTGAAGCCAATTTGTCCCTATTTTATACCATTTGGGCCAGTAGTTATTTAGATGGTAGACAATTACAGTAATCTTCCTCAACTGCTGTCTTCCAGAGAGGTTGAGTGTCAGCTCCTATGCTGGCTGGGAGGCTTAGACCGATTGTTCTAGTATTTGGAGAGCCCCAGATTAGGTGAGGTGACTTAACCCTTTTTCTTCTAATAAGAGATGAATTGTATGTCGGGGGGGTGGGGTGGAAAGGTTGGAGCCATCTCTTCACTCCTTTCTGCCCCTTTTCCTGTCCTCCTGTGTGGACATGGGGTGGGTTGAAAACTACAGAAGAGGCAGAGAAAGGAGTTTCTAGTGAAGCCGATTTTGTGTGTGTGTGTTCTCTCTAGAACAGTGGTTCCCAAACTTGGCAACTTTAAGACTTGTGGACTTCAACTCCCAGAATTCTCCAGAGAATTGAGCTGGCTGGAGAATTCTGGGAGTTGAAGTCCACAAGTCTTAAAGTTGCCAAGTTTGGGAACCACTGCTCTAGAATATTGTCCTAGTCTCAGAGGTGAGGAGTGTTAATTCTCTGTCCAAGTTCATAACATGAAAGCGAAGTTTGTTTAATGGATCACTTGTATTAGGGAATTAGGGAGCTTTCATAATATGTCTGACTCTCCCCCTCCCTCAATCAATTAGGTCAGTGTTTCTCAACCTTGCCACCTTTAAGATGGGTGAACTTCAGTTCTCAGAATTTCCCAGCCAGTTTTGCTGGATGGGGAATTCTGGGAATTGTACTTCATCCATCTTAAAGTTACCAAGATAAACTCAGTGAGAAACACTGAATTAGTTCTATTACACCAACATAACCACTGGTAAGGATGCAGTGGCTCAGTGGCTAAGATGCTGAGCTTTTGTCGATCAGGTCGGCAGTTCAGCGGTTTAAATGCCTAGCCCCGCCTAATGGGGTGAGCTCCTGTCCCAGCTTCTGCCAACCTATCAGTTTGAAAGCATGTAAAAAATGCAAGTAGAAAACTAGAGACCACTTTGGTGGGAAAGTAACATAGTTTCATGTGCCTTTGGTGTTTAGTCATGCTGGCCACATGATCACAGAGACGTCTTCGGACAGCGCTGACTCTTCAGCTTCGAAATGGAGATGAGCACCACCCCTAGAGCCAGAAAATGACTAGCACGCATGTGCAGGGAAACCTTTACCTTTAATCACTGGCACACATTGTGTGTACACAGATTACTGGTTTTATGAAATAAGATCCAAATTTGCTTTAAATATACATCAGTAATTTTTTTAAAAATAACTCTGAGTTAGCAAATCTGAAGCTGAGATTTTGGATTGTCCCCTGTCCCAAGGTAACTTACCTAATCTTCTGAATCTCAAAAATTTTGTCCTGGACAATAAATTCTTTTGATCACTGGCAGTGTTCTGTTTGTCTTCTTTGTATTTTATATTTCTTTCCAAAGAGAGGCTCTGGTAATTATTCAATTAAGCAAATCTGCAGATTAATCTATATAACTGATTATAAATAAAATATTTTAAAGGATTGAATTTTATGTAAGCAATGAATACAACAGTGCTGGACCCAATGATGGATCCAGAGAAAAGGATGGGTTATTACACAGGACAAAATCCACACTAACCCTATTGTTTCATGGGGTTGCAATGCTGGAACAGCTTGCTATAAATAGCAATACTGTAGTGCCATTTAGAGTTTTTACATTGATGTTCCAGATAAACCACTGAATGGTATCCATAGGAGTGTTATATATTAAAGTCCACAATGGAAAAATCAGAAATGTGAAACAAGTATTCCTCAAAAACACCATAAGATGTCTTAAACATGGTATTGGACACACTGAATCAAAGTAGTTCAACAATAAGGCCTTACAGATTGGATAGCACCTAGGATGAATTGAGATTGTACACACTAAACTACTGCATATTCTAGAATCTTCTGCAATGCAGAAGTTTCTATATTAGACCCCTGCAGCCAAAAAAATAAGAATTCAAAAGAGAGAGGCATAATAAAAGAAAATTGAGCCCAGCGGGTCTGTTTAGCTTAACTTTCATTTATTTCAAAGCAAAAGATGCAATAAATGAATGGCTTTTATCAGTTCTATTTTTCCATTATTTCCCAATTATTTGCAACCCTGTCATTTTTTTTTTCCTGAGTGCTCTGGGACTTCATTTTAAGTTGTAATCAGGTTTTCTAAGACAATCTGGAAAACAAAGTTATGGGAACTAGAAAGGAAGTGGAAAAATGTTGCTATTGCATTGTGATAAAAATAAAGTTAAACGTAGAAAAAGACAGGTATTCATATTAATGCAAGTAACTCTAATAAATGCAATAACTGACATATTTAATTTAAAATATTTTAAAACAATAAAAATAAATTGAAATTTAAGGGCATATTTTACTTAAGAAAAAAGCTAACATAAGAAGATAACTTGCTTTTTTTCACATTTCACTAATAAAAAGTAAACTCCCCAAATCGAACGTAACTTCTTTGTAATTTTATAAGTACCTCCATATACTATAGTTTCCTTGGCAACAAAACCAGCTGTTTGCTGTTGTTGTTTTTAGCTTCCCAATTTAGTCTACAACAGTCTTTCTTAAACTTTGAAAAGGTGTGGACTTCAACTCCCAGAATTCCCCAGCCAGCTCCGGAATTGAAGTCCATACCTTTTCAAGTTGCTGAGGTCTACAGATTTGGGATTCTTAAAAGTCTCCCATCCAAATACTACCCAGACTTTACCCTTTCAAGCCCAAACAAGGCTAGTTAGCTCCCAGAATCTGATGCACCAGGTTGATTTGTCATTTCCAAATCCAAACATTTTTTGCTATTACTTGTCCAAACATAATCAGATGAAAATGACATGGTGAGTAGCTTTGCCCATGTATTTGTGGAGTTATTCTGCAGATTTGCTAGTGTTTAACTTTATCACATTTCTGGGAAATTCTCATTCTTGGGAGCAATGAGTTGAATTCAATTGTTTCAATCAAGTGCTAGGCCAGTTAGTGGATCTTAAAGACTTCTTGCTTTGCAGAAGGCAAATCACTGTCTTTTTTGGAATAGACACCTAATCATTCTCTCTCTCTCTCTCTTTTTTTTTTGTTCTTCTCATTTATTTCAATGCAGAGGGCTTTATTTAGCTGTGATATTTTATTACAAAGACAACATGTTAGTAACCAATGAAGATCACATACCAATAGTGGAAATTGATGATTCTCACGCCAGTTCTATTATGCAAGATTTTCTCTGGTTCACAAAGGTAAGCCTTTTTCTCCCTTGGCTGAACTCCTCCAGGTAGGGGGGTATTTCTAGGCTGATCCCCGCCCTCTCTTTTTCTTTATACACAAACAGCCCTTCTTAGCCACATGCATGCCTGCGTTGTGTGAGGACACACTGCTTTGAGCCATGCTGGATGTAGGGCAGAGGTAAGGAATCTGTGATCCTTCCAGGGGCTGGACTCCAGATCCAATCAGCCCCAACAATCATGACCAATAATCATGTAGGAGGACCACATTTGAACAATCACTTAGATCTAGATCTCCAAAGTCAATTTTCCATGGTTGAATTTTAAAATGAAATTGGGTAGCCAACTAAACCAAGTACTTTGTAAATCTAGAGGCCAAAGACTGATGAAGGATCAGAAGGTTTATATGGTACATGGCTATAGAACACAGTAAATATCACATTTATAAAGTCTGAATGTGTTACAATTGTATAGAAAGCATGCATAAGATTGACACAGCCTTCCATCCTTCCAAGGTCAGTAAAATGAGAACCCAGATTGTTGGGGACAATAGGCTGACTCTGTAAACCGCTTAGAGAGGGCTATAAAGCACTATGAAGCGGTATATAAATCTAAGTGCTAGTGCTTTCTATACAATTGTAACACATTCAGACTTTATAGAGCAGTGA